CTGTAAGGGCTTCAGGGATTTCTGGAGCCTCACTCTGTGTTCTTGTGCAGCTTCATCGATGGGTCTGAATCTGTGGTTGATATGCATTCTTGAATCTCTACAGACAACACACACTGGCTGCTGATGGTCCAGACAGAAGAGTTTGAATTTCTCAGAGTGCAGACTGCAGAGACCCTCAGACCCTACTGAAGCTCCCTGATCTCTCTCCAGTAAAAAGGCCTCACACAGGTTCTTTAAAGCCAGGTTACGAGGTGGGTTGTTCCTTTTGGACAGAACCATACACACTGGACACTCCCTTGTTTGTTTCTGTCTCCACCATGTCTGTACACAGGTGTTGCAGAAGTTGTGGTTACATGTCAGAAGAACAGGATCTTTAAAAATGTCATGGCAGACTGAACAAGTGAGTTTCTCCTCTGATCTCAAGGCCATTTTAAAGCTGAGAACCCAACAAGCAGAGTTTTGAAACACAAAGTCAGTCACTGTCTCCTTTTCTAAAGTTCTTTAAAATCAAAATTCTTTGAAAACTCACATCTGTTGAAGCCAGCTGCAGGTTGTAGTGTTAGTATTCTAGAATTACATCTGTCATCTCTCTGTTGAAGCTTAGGTTCTACTATGATGTCGAATCCTATCGTTATCTCTGTGCCTCTCCTTTTCAGGGAAGAATATTCATTTCTGTTTACTGATTTCTCTCAGGTGATTCACTGGGTGGAGCTTTGCCAGTTGGTTTCTTTAAATACTCACCTGTTCAACTGGATTTCAAGGGTGTGTCTCATTTCATTGTGTTAAAAACTAACTTGAATGCAGAAGTCATATTTGCTCCCAGACACAGGGGAGGCGATAGCTGGTGACCAGTGTGCTGACAATATGTTATCAGGGCTGTTGGTCCTGTAGCGAACATGGGTGAATTCCACCAGGGGCTGACCTGTTCTCCCACTGAGACTCTGGGTTCTGCTGACTCCCTCCTAATGTAATCACAACGCGCCGGGGTTGCCAGATCTGGAACCTTACAGCACAAGAGGATCTGATCCAAGAGATAATCAGACCCTTTTAATGCACGTAGTCCATAAACTTACAAGCTACTGGGATAACCTCCCTCCTTGTCTATCTGATCTGCAGACAAGCATCTGCTGAGCAATTTGTGGTCTCCTATTACTACACTTATAGCATCTTAATGCACTTACATTAATTGAATGTGACAAGACTATACCATAATGTATTTTAACAGATCACTAACAGATCACTCTTAAAAGATACCCCGACTGCTAGTCTAATTTAATTGGAACCTCTGTACCTCTTAGATGTGTAATTACTCATTAAATCCATGCCAGGAAAAGGAGTCTATTATTTCCAACAACCCACACCACCTTTTAAAGCAGAGGAGGTCCTTACCTCTACCGGTCAGAGAGGGGACCCCCCTCTCCCTCTATTTGGATGTGAAAGCAAAAAGAAAAAGTATTCAAATTTTTAACTAACTTTAATAAAATATAGCAATTATGACAAAAACTGGTTAAATGGGATACAAGGGAATAAAACTAATTAAAATGCAGAAATGAAAAAGTTCTGCTGCCTCAGATCTTCACTCAGAAAGAGCTGGAGAAGAGTGAGGATCAAGGAAGTGGACAGTCTCAGCATCACATCATCATAACCAAGAGTACACATTTCATTTGACTGGAGAACAGTACAGTGGATCATTCTACTTATGCATGGGCTATTCCATGAAAGGTAACTAAACATCTGAGCTTCAACAGGACAGATACAACATGTAGAAAGTGAGTTTCCATTGGATGAAAAGGTTTAACCCTTCATAGGGCACTCACTGAAGGACATGGAAAATCAAAATTTCAGCTGGGATTGGCTCCAGGAACAAGCGGTAGAGATAATGGATGGATGGTTTTGCACTTTTGTTAAAACATTTTGTTTCCAAATCATTTTATAACAGCAGCAATAATGAGAGAAAAACAGTAGAATGTGGGGCAGTAATATGGCTCCAGGATACTGGATGGAAATACAGGAATAAGAAAGCAGCCTTAGTCTCACTGATCTCTCAGGAAGAGCTGCTGCTCCCAGTTTTGAAGATGTTCAACATTTTAACAAGACACCAGATTTTAACCTGTTATTTGGAAGCAAGAATTTTCTATGTAAAGATAATAGACATGTTTCGAGCTCACTGGCTCCAGTTGGAGTGGCACTGGTGGCTGCAATGATTTGTCCTTATTTGATAAGATTAAACACAACAAACACAATCCAAAAAGAGACACACAACAAAAACATGTTTGCTGATAAATAGCCTTTTATCAGAAACTCTCACACAAATGACCATGGAAAAATTAGTTTAGACTGTTAATACAGATGGAAAATCATCCAGAGATATAAATCATCACATTCAAATAAGACAAAACAAGTTGACTGCAGGATGAAGCAACAACAACAAGGTGCAGCTGCCAACGATATAAAGGACTGCAATGTTTTTGTTTGTCTTACTAACACAAATCTCATAAAGACCAAAACTAATTTAAAAACCAAGTCCAACAAACTACAACAACCAACATGTTTAAGGAAATGATCGATATCTTTGACTTTGCCACCTACAGTGGAGTTGGTGGATGCGGAGCTGATGCCACAGACGGGGTGCAGCGTCACCGTGCACTGCTCTCACACGCTGCTGGTTTTTCATGTCATTTGTTGGCACCAACATTTAAAATCTAGCATGACTTTATGCAAAGTACACTGGGAATCATAAATACACATGTAGAGGTCTTAATATTTTATCCTTCAGCTAATTATTTTTTCTTACTTAATTGTCATACATTTAAAAAATGTGAATCTTATTTTGAAAAGAGTAAAAACAAAGAGCTGTCGTCGTCCTGGTCTAAACTGCTCGAG